CAGGTGGAGCTGCGGGAGCAGGCGGAGGGCTGAATGCGAGCCGCCTCGAGTGTTAGGTTAAGGAGTTGTTTTATCCCAACAGGAAAACGGCAGAAAACATTTCCAGCGGTGGAGTGACCTTGTTCAGATTTACCATTTAGGGAGGGAGGCAGACGGGTAGTTTAGTGGAGGGTGAGTGGGACGTACACATATAGAAGAGCAAAATGTAACCCCCCAAATAAAAATTTGCCACTGAGTGAGGAGACACTGGCAGGAGCGTGGAGGCACAGATGCAGAGTACAAGAAGGGGGGCAGGGAGACCAGTTAGGAGCTTAAAACAAGAATGCAGGTGAGGAATGTGGGCGAGACCTGGGACAAAGGGGGCGGGGCTGTGGGGTGAGGGTTGGCGGGCAGGGGGGGAGGGGGGCAGGGGGCAGGGTGGGAGTGGCAGAGAGGAAACCCGAGACCAGCAGTGGTTTGTAGGGAGACGGTTCTCCTGCTCTTTGTTTTCTTACGCTGGCACCCCCTGCACATTTGGGGTCTCAGACACCCCAGGCTGGCAGGGTGGGTTTGCATGGGTTTCCTGGTCCGCCTGCCTGCCTGCTTGTTTCATGTTCCAACTCCTTGGCAAAGGGGGGCAGGGATAAGAAACAGAAGCTTCTCCCTCGCCATTCTACTAGATCTCTCTTATTTATTCTGTGCTCTCTTTTCCCCGATTCTGGTCCTCTCATTATTTCTGAGCTGTACAGCTTGATGCTTCTGTGGCTCAGCTCTCCCACCCCCATCTGCGAAGTGTCAATCAAGCCATCAGATGAACAGTTCAGCTTCACATCCTCAGTGGCTCTGCCCCAGGACATGAGCAGCAATTGCTCACACACACACACACACACACACACACACAGCCCTGTGGAATAGGGCTGCTGGCTTGGCTTGTAATAGTCTTCCAGACCAGAATGGATGTTAAAATGGATTTTGAGGGGTTCACTTCTAGGCTGCCCCTATCAGGACAGCCACCAGGATGGGCAACCCTCAGAGGGGGAAGCCTTATGGAGTCGATTCGCTTTTCTTTTCAAGGTTGGGCCATCGCCAGTGTCTGTTTCTGGAGGAGCTGTTTGAAATTCTTAATAAGCAGGAATCCAGGAATTCAGGGCAGCAGGCTTGTGAAGTAGGGGTGGGGAAATGGTATTGACATTTTATTTCTGAAGGAACATTATGTTAAACAATGGGTAGGGGGTGCATTTAGAACCCACCCTAGCTTCCCTGGAGGGCCAACAATAGGAAACCTGTGGGGACGGGCTGAACTGAGGTTAGAACAAAGAAAGAACTTGTCCAGTCCCTGAAATGGGGACCAGGAAGATCTGAAGCATCTGCTTCCCCAGGGGATTTCTCCTTCTTTTACAAATTCTGAATGGACGTGCAATTTTTATAGAACACAGAAACTAATGAGCATTGAGCTCCATTAATGGCCAAATTCCCTTTGCATCTCCTATAGTGTGAAACTTAAGTCTGTGATCTGTGTGTGCCTACGGTGCTCTGCTTCTCTTAGTGTTATTTCATATTCACATTTCTTATTCTTGTAGTTTGGAATCGCTACATAGTATTCCATTGTGTCAACCTGCCAGAGTTTGTTCAACTATTCCCTGTGGCTGGGTTGTTTCCAATTTTTATATCACAAAACGTACAGCTATGAATGTCTTCATTCAAATGTCTTTTTCTCCCCTTGGATATTTCCTTGGGGGTGTAGTTCCCCAAGTCAGATTTCTAGGTCAGAAGGTTTGTACCATTTTATATTCTCTTGCAGGCTGCCCTAGCACTCTGCAGAAATCCAGACAAGTCGATTTGCTCCCCATTCTCTCTCCAGCCCACAGCCCTGACAACAGGAGATTTTATCTTTTATTTATTTATTTATGTTGATTTAATAGGCACATAATCATACCTGGAAGTTATTTAATTCCCATTACTTTCACTGCTAGTGAGACTGGGCACATGTCCATGGAAGGATTTATTGTCTGCTTTTTCTGGTGTGTAAACTGTATGTCTCCTTTGGCATCTTAGCAAGAAAAATCCGGGGACTCACGTTATGCATTTATATCAAGACTTCACATATTAAATAGTACATTTTTCTGTTATGTCTGCCGTTTGTTACTCTAAGGGAGTTGTCCAATTATTACAGGACAGCAAATCTGTTAAAGGAAGGGGGAGAGCACCACTGAAGCCCCAAACCTGCCTGCTCTAAGTGGGTTCTGCCATCCACCGCAACAAGATAAAACATATAAAACTTTAATGAAAAGGGACTTTAATACGTGAACATACAATACGGAACACAGAGAATATAACTTCTAAATCAAACACCTGAAGTTACCCATCCCCTCATGGGCAAAAGTCCACCCAAAAGGGATTGGCCCAAAGCAAGGCCTGAAAGCTGCCACTAGACTAAAGCAGCTTTCCGGTACCCATGGAAAAGGGTCAGACATGGCCAGACAAGTCTGGGAGGAAAAGAGCAAAATCAAAATCAATGTAAACACTGCCATAGTCACCTCCCTACAGGTATCTCACCCACATCTGCCTTAACCAGTCCGGGGTCAGGAAACAAGCCC